GGTCGTTGGCGGAGCAGGGACCGGGGCTGGAACTCGGGGCCAAGGCCAAGGCCCTGGGCCGTGGCCGGGGCCGTGGCCAGGTCTGAAGCCTGGGGCCCGGGATTCCAAGGCTTCTTGCCTGGGGCCCAGGCCGGGGCCGGCGCCGGTGCTGGGGACGGGGCTCAACCACAGCCGTGGCCAGGGCCAAGGCCAGGGCTGAGCCGGGGTCGCGGGGCCAGGGTCGGTGCCAAAGCTGGTGCCTGGGCTGTGACCAGGGCTGGAGCCGGGGTGGGGGCCGGTGCCGGAGCTCCCAAGCCCAACGACTCACCACGAGCCAACCAGTCAGGGATCTAGACCACCACTAAACTCGACAGACGGACACGATGCAATCAAACATGTTCTTCAACACACCATACTGCCCCAGGCGACTGCTAACATCCTCCTTCCCCTCGTCCTCCTCATCCTCTTTTTCCCTCTTGTCCTCCTCTTCCTCCTCCTCCTTCTCTCCGTCCTCCATTCCTTTTCGTTATACATACCTTCTCCCTGTCGCACACAGAAGCCAGTTTTTATGGTGGGCCGGGCGTTTCGCCTGAGCATTCCTCACCACTTATGACCCTGAAGCTGTATGCGTGACAACAGTTTCACAAATGGAGGGCGGGTGCTTTTCAAAATGCGGCTCTCGCCTTAGCGCCACGCGCATTCGTTTTAAACATTTGCAACAGTTTCACGGATTGAGGGCGACTAGTTTTTAACATGTGGCTTTCATCTTAGCGCCGAGCACATTCGTTTTTAGCCTTTTGCAAGAGTTTCACGGATTGAAAGCGACTGGTTTTTCCACATGTGGCCCTCGCTTTAGCGCCGCTCACATTCGTTTGAAAGAATTGCAAGAGCTCACGGATTGAGAAGGCGGTTCCTTTTCAAAATGTGGCTCTCGCGTTAGCGCCGTGCACATTCTTCTTAAACGTTGCAATGGTTTCACATGGTATTTTGGATAGATTCGAAATTCTGAGGGTGCAACAGTTACGTTGATTCGCGGTGTTGAAGTGCCAGAAATGGCGTTCTGGCGCGATTCAAGACCGGCAGGACGCAACAGTCAGGTTGATCCGTGGCGTTGGAATCCCGAGGACACTGTTTTGGCATGATTCAGGGTCTTCAAACGGTTGTCTTCCAACGAGGCAGTTCCCTGAGTGGAAACGAACCCTTGTATGGGCCTGTGAAGGAGGATCTTGGAGGGAGGGTTTATTCCAACATTGTTGATGACTCTTTGGTTCACACTGGTCTTTTTCCTCCTCCTCCTCCTCCTCCTCCCTCCCTTCTCGAGGTAAAGCTCGCACACTTTCAGACAGAACGGCAGGTCCGCACGGAGTATTCCAAAACTTCCCCGATCGGCGGCACCGACCAGAGGCCTCTACAATATAATCTTTGTTGCGCGGCTTCGCGATACATATTTTTGTAAGCGATTTACATATTGATGGGTTTGCAACTCGAAATTTTGCTGTGCGTAGCTTTGCAATCGGATTCCGTGTGTAGGCGGATTCCGGATTTCCGACAACATTTGCCCGTTATGAGTCCTACTGTGTGGATTGCAAATCGAATCGATTTGTCTGGCTTCGCGTGTCTTTGTGCAAGAAAAGTATAGATACACTTATGGAGCCTGAGTGGTACTGCGTTCTTATAGCGGATCCGTGAAAGCTATATGCCAGAACAGCACGCAGCGCAAGACGCAACGAAACAACAAAACAAAACAGAAGAAACAACACGGGAACGTCGAGAAGAACACTCGTCCGCTTGGTGGCGTCCTGAGGCCTCTTTTGGAGCCCTTGGGGGCCTCTTGGGGGGCCTGCTGGCGGCCTCTTGGGGGCCATTTGTGGCAGAGGGCTCCACATGTCAGCTCGAATTTCCCCTCCTGGACCCCTCTTGAGGACCTCTTGTGCCGTGTTGGGCGCCTCTTGGATTGTCTTGGGGTTTTCTTGGGCCGTCCTGGGGTGCTCTTGGGGGCCGTCTTGGGGCGATCTTGGGGTTCTCTTGGGCCGTCTTGGACGCTGTTGGAACCATTCCAAAAATATGCTACGAATGCGTGTTTTCCGTAAGGGATGGGGCAACTTTGGCCTCCTGGGGCCCTCTTGGGGGACATCTTATAACCTTCTTGAAGAGTCTTCAGGGCCTCTAGGGCCGTCTTGAAGCAATCTTCCGCCGTCTTCGGCCCTGTTGGGCCGCTGAGGTTGCTTTGTTATGCCCTCCACAACTGTTTTGGGCCGCCGGAGGGAGGCCCCGGAAGGGGTCCAGATTTCCAGTGCTGATTGATATGACGCACAGCCAGCGTCAGATCAATCAGTGGATGTGTACACACGCCATCCCACCACAATCATCACGTGGGAATACCTGCGCTATCGCGGTCATACATATCTGACAGGCGTCTCCCGCCCATGTCGGCACATCCTTCACACAGATCGTACTCTCAGGAAGCTCCACCTACGGCCCCCCGCCCATCTCGGCACACCCCTCACAGGGATCGTGCCCCACAGGAGCTCCACCTACGGCTCCATCGCTTAGCAGAACCCCCCTCACGCGGATCGTGCTGCCCCGCAGGTAGCTGCACGTAGGAAGACACTTCGCACATCATCGCCCCGCTCACGTCGGCAGCCCTCTCTCACACAGACTAGGAGCCCCACCTGCGGCCTCACTGGGCGGGTTCGCGCGAGGGAGCCGGGATTGTTCGGCCCCCCCCCTCACGCGGATCGTGCCCCACACGGAATTCAGCGCGCCTGTGCACGCTTGCTCCGCAGCAACCCGCTATCAGCTCAGTCCCGCGGCGCGGAGTATGTGAGTAGAGGGCCGCACCCTGCGATACATGTGACTGCATAGGAATGGGTCCGTCGCCAAGGCAAACTTTGCTTGTCTATGGCCTTCGGCCCATCCCGCCACCGTGCCTGACTTTTGGGGCAGAGGCTTCTTGGATACCTGTAATTCGATATCTCTTGGCATGCTTCCCAGGCGCCTCGTGGACCGAGTTTTGAAGCTTCACGGGGCCTCTCGGGGGCCTCTTTGGAGGCCCTTGGGAGCCTCTGCCCTCTTGAGGCCGTCTTGGGGCGATCTCGGTGTTCTCTTAGGTCGTCTTGGACGGTCTTGAAATCCGAAAAGCGAATATGCTAGAAATGCACTTTTTCCGTCGTCAGGAATGGGATGTTGGCCTCCTGGGGCTCTCTCGGGGGGTACCTTCAAGCTTTCTTCGAACGTATTTGGGCTTCTTGGGCCGTCTTGAAGCAATCTTCGGCCGTCTTCGGCCCTGTTCGGCCGCTCTGGTCGCTTTCGTATGCCCTCCGCAACTGTCTTGGGCCGCTGGATGGAGGCCCAGGAGGGGTTTCAAATTTCTGGTGCCGAGACACGGGTGTGTGGGGGGAAATCCGGAAGGGTGTCGGCCTCCAATACCCTGGCATTTGATTTTTATGTATGTATGTCTGTGTGTGTATATATATGTATATATGTGTATATATACACCATATCGACACTTGTGCGTGAACTGATTGCAATGCGCTGTTTCACGTAGTAGCAAATCAGCGCACAAAAACCCTGGCGACCATCAAGGCACGTGTCATAATGCCACTTTGCGACATGCGCGCGTCGGGCGACTGAGACAAACCCGACGGCCCGATGTACGCGTCAACAAGCCACGTTCGCCGGACGGATACCGCACCTTTCCGTGATACCTGATCGCTCTTCGGAGTTGGTGGTCCTCGAGTGTTTGGCTCGAATTCAGCTTATGAGGGTCGACCGTCTGTAGCGGGCATGGAGATGCGTTCCCAACGGCCTGTAGCGGCCGGAGTTGCTCGTCGTCGCCCACGCGGCAGCCACTGCTCGCACGAGCTGGTCGCATTCCACTGGCAATTGTACTATGCAGCTTTCGGGCTTAGTGCCGACTCAAATAATCTGGTCAACTACGAACCATGCATGCAATTCGGGTGTAAGCGTCACTGTCCCCAAACTAACTCCAACATGAGAATATTGAACTCAATGTAGAATCAGGCTTTGCCGTTGGCGCCCGGACGCCTGCAAGCTCTTCCAACATACCTTCACAACACATTCGCAATCGAACGGAGCACAAGGACAGGAAACTTGAGCAGCACACGTGTCGAAATATGATTATAATCGGAGTATGATGAATGACAACCTGCTTCAGTTGAGACAGAACCACCCACGCAAGAAAGTGCACGACCCACGTTGAACAGATAAGTACAGGACTCAAGTTGAACATCTGTGTGAAGAATATATGTCAATCTTAAGAAGCTCTCGTCACGTGACTCGTAGAGCTTCCCCATAAGCGAAGCGGCTAAGCTCTAGAGTAATGTCACAGCGCCGGCGGGCTAGTTGGCTCGAAAAAAAAAAACGACAGAAGTTTTGATGATGAGGCCTCCGTTGAAAATTATTATCTCGAAATTCAAAAATTCGTTTGAACTCTAATAGTTTTCGCCCCACACCGTTGATCTTATTCCCACTCGTCATCTTGATCTCAAGTCAATCGGGTGGATCTTACTAGAAAAAGTCAACGAGGCGGGATTTGCTATTTTTGCTATCTTGGGATCCTCCTGATGGTTTTTGGAAGATAGCTCGAGCGACCACTCCTAGAGGCGAAATGGACACCATTCGACAGGAAATAATCAGACGTTGTATTTTCAAGTATGCCGACGCCTGAATTCTGCCTGCTACCAGAGCTGCGACGGAAAAACTATTCGCACTCTATCAAGAGTTGCAATCGCCCGTCGCTGATCCATTTCTGTCGATCACCCTCCCGCTCCCTATACAAAACATGTGGAATGGCCAGTTGCATGTGTGGAGACTGCCATGTCTGCATGGCTCATATTGGCACCATCCTTCAAGGCAAGCTTTGAAGTCGATCCTGAATTCGCCTGGCCGCACGCTACTGCTAGATATTGACTGGCCAAAGCAGGTTGCCAATTCCCACCGCAAATGATGATACAAGTCTGGTTTCGGACGCGTTGGGAAGAAGCAGCGGGCAATAGGTTCGACACTTTTCTAGGCCATCTGAGCATGATCGCAGGACTGTGCTAGTGCAGCCCCATATTAGGGCGTGGGTGAAAGAACGCAGCCCGCTTCCTACTGCTAGACTGTTGCAATCGCAACGATGCTGCCACAGATGAGCACGAAGAGGCACTAGGGATTAGGGGCGCTGGCAGAGGACCGAACGTATACGGCCACATCTGACGAAACCTTCTGGAGGCCGTGCCTCGGGATCGGCTCAAGTCATGCGACGCATATTGCTTCTGATCTCGGCGGCGACGACAAGGGCGAACAGCCCAGAGGCGGGCATTACACGTATTCGCCCGGGAGCCTTGTCGGAGACATGAAGTATCGGCGCCCCTGGATAAATCTATTGATCTCCCTTGGGCTGTTCGCCCCTATCGTCGCCTCTGCTGATGCACACTGCCGCACCCCGTTCGACAGCGCCACTGGCGTGCAGCTGCTCAATCGCCAGGCGGTGGCGAGGCTGTGATTCGACGGTCCGGTTTCCATCTCTCCCTCCCTTCCCTCGTTCCTCTCCGTCCCTTCCTTCCTCCGTCTCATCCTCCTCCTCCTCTTCCTCCTCCTCTCCCTCCTCCTCCTCCTCCTCCTTCCTCTTCTCCTCCTCTTCCTCCTCCTGTTCCTCCTGCTGTTTGTTCTCCTCCGCCTTCTTGTCCTCCTTCTCCCCCTCCTCCTCCTCTTCCTCCTCTTCCATCCTTCGTAGGCCCTCTCTGCCTTGCCTTCCTTTCTCCTTCTCCTCTCTCTCCTTGTGCGACGCCCTTGCTTCCTTTCTCCTCCCTGGGCCTTGTGGAATCTTGTGCGTCTGAGGCACGTGCCGCTTGGGAACAACCGCCGCCGCAATAGGCATCCATAGCATGCGTTGGCGGGTTCTCGTGCCGATTCGGAAGTTTTTTTCTCCTCATCTCTTTCCATTTCTCTTTTCACTTTTCCTTGCTGAAATCGCATACATTATTCTGCTTTATGCTCTGTTTGTCCTCTCCCGCTTCGGTCCTTTCCGGCTAATTATTCGGCTCCTTTGCTTTGTTTGGGCAGCGCGTCGCCGCAAAGCATCGCTCGCATGGAGTTGTCGGGCCTACGCGCGATGCGCCTTGCAGGCAGCGAGCATTGCCCGCTACCTGCGTGGGTCACGGGGACGAACTCGTATTTCTGAACGAGCCTTGCACACATTCTGCCCACTTTTTTTCTTTCTCGTGGCTGTTCCGGTCTGGGTGTTCCTCTGTCGGACATGTAGGGCACCAGGGACTTTCTCTCCCTCTTTCTTTCTGGGGGCGCGCAAACATGGAGTAGCGATCTATGGATTTGGCGCGCGGTCACCAAATCCATGGATCGGGGGAGGTGCCCTCCCCAAAATGCGGCCCGGGCCGCCTCGTTCGGCGGCGGAAATCCGCAATTTCCCATGGAAACGGGACCCGTCGCTAATCCACGCCCCCTTGATCCATGTTTGCGATCGCCTGATCTTTCACCCCATCATCTCGTCTTTTGCCTCATGTACTTTCTCTTCTGTCGCATCAGCCTGCGCCTGTCTGCTGCCAGCCAGGGGGATTGGCACGCTCGCGCGGGGGATGCGCACTTGTAGTTCGCTGCGCTGCGGAGGCCGCTGCCGGCCATCGTCAAAAGTCCTCCTTTCGACTGCACGCAAGAGTGACCCTGGGTAAGAGTGACCTTTGGTGCGCGGCTTTTTGGGGACCGCGGGGGGACCAAACACGAGCGCGCAAGACGCTACTACTGCATCGCGTTCGGCGATCGGGGGACCCCATTGGGCCCGCACCAAAGGTCACTCCGGCGAAAGGTCACTCTTACGTGTAGTCGATCCTTCTCCTCTTTCACTTACCTCTTCTTCAAGCGCTGGTTTTGGCTTGGGTTGACGGTTAGCGGAGCCCAGCATGAGCGTCATGGTTAGGAGCATCTCCTCCTCCACAGGCTCCCGAACCCCGTCGAGACTGACGAGCCCGTTTCGGCTCCGGCCCGTTCCGGCCTCATCCGCTCGTTTTGGCTTCGGCCCGTTTCATCCCAACCCGTTTCGTTCTGGCCCGTTTCGGCTCCGGCCCGTTTCGTTCTGGCCTGGTTCGGCTTCGGCCTGTGTCGGCTTCGGCCCGTTTCGGCTTTCAGGCTCGCGCTCGCACCTGGACAAGGAAGCCGAAACGAGCGGGCCGAAGCCGAAACCGGCTGAAACCGAAACGGGCGGGGCCGAAACAGACCGAAGCCGAAACGCGCCGAAGCCGAAGCGCGCCGAAGCCGACACGGGCCAAGGTCGAAACGGGCCGAAGCCGAAGCAGGCCCGAAGCCGAGACTGGCCTGAAGCCGAGTCGGACCCTTGTCCCGGGTCAGCGCCAGGAGGGCCGCAAGAGGGGAAGACGAACTGACACGGCGAGCCCTCCGCCCAAGACGACCCCCGAG